TGCCCAGGATCACACAGCTAGTAAGTATCTGAGGCCAGATTTGAACTCATGAAGATGAATCTGCCTAACTTCAGCACGGTGCTCTATCCACTGAGCCACCTACTTGTCCATTAGTATTTATTAGGCATCTAGTATATGCTAGACACTGTCCTAGGTTCCTTGTAAGGAGCTCACATTTTACGGCCTAAAGTTCAGAGGTGATGCCCACTTCCTGGTGGCTTACAGTCCAGGTGGGGAGAGAAGACTCACCCCTGTAATGGTGCCCAAAACACATACGGAGGCACGCCTCAGCATGCTCACAGGGTAATTACTAAGTTTTTTTCTAAGTTAGTTGCAGTGAGTTCAGGTTACATTTAGCTTATTAAATATCTAATATCGAGAGGGAATTCTAGTTGTGGCGTGTCTCAGTGGACAGAACATTCACTCGAGCCATTTTGCTGCATCCTACCTGTATGAGCATGAGCAAGTCAGGTCACTTTCCTGTGGGTTGTTTCCTCAACTGTCAGTTGAGGGGATTTGACTGGATGAGCTTTGATGTGTCTTCTCCCTCTGGATCTAAGGTATAATTGTTCCTCACTTCTCTGGGCCTCAGTTATACCATCTATAAAACTACCTGGTCACACTAGGCTGCCTTTGTGGTTCTTTATTGCTCTAAACCTATGGCTCTATGATACTATAGGGCATACAGAGGCAAGACTGATGAAGGCATATCTGGCTTTATTTGTATAGATTATTTAAATCCACAATTCAATCAGCATGGATACTTCTTGAATCAATCAGTCAGTCAATAAGCATTTACTAAGTAAGGCATTCTTCCACTGACTCAGATAGCAGCCCCTTTCCCTCATAGAAGATAATCTTAAATTTGTATGGCTGAGAGATAATCTTTTTTGCTTATCCATTGATGAACTCCAAACTTAGGCAGGTTGGTCCCTGAAAAAGACAAATGATTGCTAAGTGGTGGAAGGTCCATCCAGAGCTTGATCCAAGGTCACAGCCAGGGCTGCCTCCTGTACTGATAGTGAAATGTTGGAGGAGGTCTTGACCTTTTTTCTAGATATAAAGGAGAAACCTCAAAGCCAGGAAGACCCGAATTCCAACACTGCATCTGACCTATACTGACAATGTATGACCTTGGGCAAATCATATAACCTCCTAGACATCCAGGCAGCACTTTAGGGCTGCTGGTTACAGACAAGGTGCCAATCAGCTTCAGCATGAGTTTCCTCACCCCAGAGTTCCCTATATCAACAAAATGGCACATCTAGTCCCCATACCTATTCCACACATGCCTGCTGTTTATTAAAATCTTACCAGCAAGGTTGATGGATGAAAAAGCATTTATTAAGCATTTATTGTATGCTGATCAGTGAGGCCATAGATGTTAATGACCTGCAAAATATCTTACTTAGTGTCAGAACCAGAATTCCAGACCAGGTCCTCCTGAATCCAAATCCAACATTGTTTTCATTGTACCATGCTGCCTCTCTGCAATCTTGCCCACTCCCTCTAATTTAAAAAAAAATACGGAAACTGAGAATATTTCCCTGAATTCACTGAGATAGTGTCAGAGCTTAGATCCCAGCCTAGTTCCAAACCTAGCACATGGCTCTGCTTGATATTACGTTTGACCTTTAAGAAACTAAAGAGTTCACTGGCTGTCGATTGTTGGGATTAGTTTTGACTTCTTTTGAAGACTAAGGCCTAAATGAAGATTTAAAATGGATATGGGAGTATCCATTTCCCTCATTCAGAACCAAATGAAATAAGATTAAACTCATTTGGAGTCAGAAAATCCTTGGAGTCTCCTCGTAGTGTCTGGCCCTGGACGGAGGTCCTGGGCTCAGGATCTGTGGGGCTTTTCCTCCCTGGCATTCATCACTGTCCTTCACTACCAGTGGCCTGAGTGGTGACCCTGTAGTGATTATGTTTCAGGGCCCAGGGCTCCTGGCAGCCGTCGCTGGCGACATGTTTCCTTCCATGGAGTGTCTCCTCCCAGGGAAGTCCCTTCTGTTACATAACAAGGAAACCCAAACACCCCAGCCAGAGCACTAGAGTCAGCCCCTAGCGATTGGCAGGCTGCTCTTCTCGGTCTGGTTCTCTTTTTTCTTCCCTGTTCACATGGCCTATCAGGCCTTCATATGCTCTACAAAGAAGCAGATTTTCAGAAAGCCCCCAGCCATGGGAGGTGGTTTCTTGCTCTGCCTAAAAGCAACAGTCTACTGTGTGACCCTGGGCAAGTCACTTAACCCCAGTTGCAAAAAAAAAAAAAAAAAGGAAAGAAAGCAACAGTCTACAGAGATAACAGCAGAATTTTTCAAAACCACCATGATATTTCCAGCCTGGGTGATATGATCTGAGATTAAGGACTAGGCTGTGGCCTGTGGAATGAAAGACAATTCTCTCCCTTTACTTAGCATGAGTCAGGCTATTTGTGCCTTGTTGGGACTGCACAGTCTAGGAAAGCATTGGAGAAACTGGATTTGATTCAGAGGACTGCTCTGTAAAGGCTTAACTCCTGGAAAGTCAGCATCAGGGAAATCTATCTTAAGGAATAAATAGCTAACTGAGGAGCAGAGCTCTTTCAAAGATACAGAAATTTATCATACAGTAGGCTGAAATGCAGACAATCCACATGACCTTATTAAGTACTAATCAATCCATCAATCACCGATCATATATTTAGCACCTACTTTGTCATTCCACCTGCTCTGTCCACTCTGGTCATTACTTTCACTCTCTCCCCACCAGGAAGTTAAACTTCATTCCTGAAACCACCCTGGACATTGATGGACCAGCATTGGCTGGATCTTCCTCAGTTCTAAGCCTCCAGAGCACACCAGGAACATGCCCAACTCTATCATGTCCCCTCCTATTTTCAGATCCCTTTTCCATTAGAATATAAGTTCCTTGAGGGCAGGGACTGCCTACTATGCTTTTATTTGTATCCCTAGTACTTAACACAGTGCCTTGAATATAGAAAGTGCTAAATAAATTCTCTTACTCATCTATGCATGTAGCTATAAATCTCTTATCTAATTTCTGTATCTACCTACCAATCTCTATCAGTTCTCCTTTTTATCTGTGTATCTTTATATCATCTACCCATATATCTTTTTCATTTATCTATGTATCTCTGTCTTCATCTATCTACCTACCTATTTATCTACATATGTCCTATCATTTCTCTCTCATTTATCTATTTATCTCTATTTATCATCTCTCTCTCTCTCTCTCTCTCTCTCTCTCTCTCTCTCTCTCTCTCTTCACTCTATCCATGTGTCAGACACTATTCTAGGTTTTGGAAATAGAAACACAAAAATAAAGCAGGTTCTTCCTCTCAAGTCACTTACATTCCACATTCAAATGATGATAAATTGGGAGACAGGGTTTCCTTAGCAGGAGTAATTTATTAAAGACTATCTCTGAGACTCATTTTAAGACCTGGTTTTCTTTGGAAACACATAAGTGTTTATACTTTCAGAGTTTTTGTTGAATTGTTAGAAAAGAGGGAACAGGTATCACATAAAGTGACTTTACCATCTTCTCCTTACCTGGTGGTTCCATTATGTGAATAAATGGGGATGATAATCCAGGATGTGTGTGTGTGTGTGTGTGTGTGTGTGTGTGTGTGTGTGTGCGTGTGTTGCAAACATAGTACAGTGTAATGAACTTGGGGCCAGGAAGATCTGGGATAGAATTCAGCTACTGACATTTGCTAACTGATCCTAGGTAAATCACAAACTTGCTCTGTGTTTCAGTTTCCTCATATATATAATGGATATAACAATCCTTGTAGAGCCTTACTCATAAGGTTTTGTGGAACTCAAAGGAGGTAATGTATGTAAATTCCTTTGCAAACCTCAAAGCATCATATAAGTCTGAACTATTCTAATTATAGAATCTATTGCCACGATTTCTGACTTTTTAAGTCTCCTAGTATTTTACCACAAAAATGAGGCAGGGTAGAGAAAAAGAGGGGGCTTTGGGGGCTTCATAAGAGGAATTGAATTGAAATGGCTTCTGGTTCACGAGAGCACCTGGCCTCCTCTGTAATTATGTACCAGAATAATTCAACGTTGAGGCCCTTCACCATGCTGGTAGCCCTCCTTGGGATGCTTCTCAACTTACTGATGTCTTTTTTAAGCCCTGATGCCAGCTACAGTGCCCAAATTGGATGGAAAATTCTTGAATCGATCTGATTAGAATAGAGGAGAGCAGAGCTCTCATCTCCTTCATGCTGAATGCCTTGCCTCTCCTTGCTCAGCCCACGGTCCCATTCCTGCAGTTTAATCAGAGTGATTGGTGCTCAGGAAGGCTCCTTTTCCTTGTTGATCATTGCAATGGCCATGTATATAAATAAATAATACTTCTAGGTCGGGCTTCCAGAATAATTCCCTTAAACTCTCCATATGCTTTTCATGTGTTGTGTATAAAGCTTCCTAAATTCCATAGGAAGGTTAGCCGTTATTTTAAAATTAAATTTCAAAGGCTTAAAATGAGAGGGGCTGTGTGGTGTAGTTGATGGAGGGTGAGCCTTGGAGTCAGGAAGAGCTAGAATCAAGCCCTGCTTCTGATACTGGCTGTGGGACTCTGGACAAGTCACTAACTTCTCTTTACCTCAGGTCGCTCTCTCGCTCTATGACTGCAAATTGCAGGACACGCCGATCTGCTCTGGTAGAGTTCTGCATTAGACATTCCTTCCCTACATCAATGGTGTCGTTGGTCTAGTCCCAACATTGAGTCAAACCCACTTTAGGATAAAATCATGCTCCTGTTTAGGGCCTTTTGAAGAAACAGAAGTAAATTAATTAGGTAAAAAAGGAAATTCAATGTGCTCTGCCTATGGAGATTTGTATCCTAGCTGATTCACTAAAGTGATGCAACAATAACCGGTGTAATTCTGACTGTAGTTTTGAGGTCATTGCTAGACTACAAACAGCCACTTGTGACACCAGGATCACAGCTGGGGCTTGGAAAGGGGGATCTTGGGCCAGTGGGCCAAACTGAAAGGGTACTGAAAGCACACAGGCATTCTGCAGCATAGGAATTTCAAAGCAAGAATCATTAGCTAAAATAGGAAACTGCCGATGGAAAGTTGGGGTGAGTTCTACTACACATTTACATGCTTGCCCCAGGCATGGTAAATGGTACTCCCTGCAGTCTCCCCACCATGTCTCCTGCAGGTAACAATGCAGTGACCTTCCCTCTCATTCTAATTCCCTTTCTGTGTGTTCTCTTCTAGTAGAAGAATGCAAGCTCCCTGAGGGCAGGTACTGTCTTGTCTGTTTCTAGGTATCCCCAGTGCTGAGCACAGTGGCTGCCACATAATAAGTACTTAATAAAATGTGTTTCTCTGAGTATCTCTCTCTGTCTCTCTGTGTCTGCCTCTCTGTGTCTCTCTGCTTCTCTGTCTCTATCTCTGTTTCTGTCTGTCTGTCTGTCTCTGTGTCTCTCTCCCTCTCTCTTCAGATCCCCAGGATCTCCAAAGTAGATTTATGAATAGTGGCTTATTTACCATATGTAACAATCATGTGTTTTACGAATAATGCTTTATGAATACTGCCTGGCACATTTTGTTGTTGGTAATTTTTAGTTGTGTCTGACTCTTCATGACCCCATTTTGGGGTTTTCTTGGCATTTCCTTCTCCAGCTCATTTCACAGATGAGGAAACTGAGGCAAACAGGGTTAAGTGACTTGCCCATGATCACACAGCTAGTAAGTGTCTGAGACCAGATCTGAACTTGGGAAGATGAGTCTTCCTGACTCCAGGACTGGCACTCTATTCACTACACCATTTAGCTGCCCATTTAGCACATAGTTGGAGCTAAGTAAGTGCTTCCTGACTGACTAACAAAATATCCATAGGCCAGTCTTAGAACTTGAAACAAAACTGTCTTCAAAATGTTACCTAAGAACTCTGGGAAATCACAACATCCTGGAATCTTAGCCAATGAATCCACCAGCAAGCATTTATTAAGTACCTACTACAATACTAGACACTATCTACTAGCCAAGGACGCAAAGACAAAACTCTCTTCCCTTAAGGGCTTGCATTCTAGTTGGGCTAGACAACATGTAGACGACCCTGGGTCCTGATACTAGTGAATTCCTGAAGATGTCACTTTCTTCAGTTCCTTGCTGTATGTATCCCTTGGGCTGCAACAAATAAATAACCATATTTTAAGAAATTGTAACTTTGGATAGTATGAATTTAAGTTCCTGGGACCTCTTGAAGGGAACCATTATTCTTAGTATTCTGGACCTAGCTGTATGTAGAGTGGGAGGCCTTAGTGGGAGGGGGCATCAGGAAGGCTTCTTATAGAAGGTAGTATTTGATCTGAACCTCGAAGGAAAGGGAGGATTCCAAGGGATGGAGGAAAGGGGTGGAGAGTGAATACAAGTAAAAGGAAGGGAACAATTATTTGTATAGTGCCTCTGTGGTGCCCCGGATGTGCTATGTTGAGTCCTTTCCACAAATATCTCATTTGATCCTTACAACAGGCCTGAAAGGTGGTGTTATTCTATAGTTTAAAGAAACCGAGGCAATCAGAGGTTAAGTGACCTGCCCAGGTCACACAGCTAGTAAATGTCTGAGGCTGCAGTTGAACTTAGGTCTTCCTGACTCCAGGCCCAGTGCTCTATGTATTGTAGCATCAGGTGTCTCAGGAAGGCCCCAAAAGGTCATCTAATACAACCCCCAGCCACCCCTCCCTTTCCTAGCTTCTTCGAGGGCATGACTAGGTCCATTGCCATTCTGGTCTCTCTCTTCTGCTTCATTTTATTCTGTGTTTCTAAAAATGTGCCTCTTAGGACTAAATATAGAACTAAATATAGGCTGACCACTGTGCAATATATATAACAGAATATTTGCCACTTGGACACTATATTTTTATTCATGAATCATCTAGATGGTATAGTGAATAGAGTGTTGGACTTAGAGTCAAAAAGATCTGAGTTCAAATCCAGCCTCAGGCACTTACTAGTGGTGTGACCCTGGGCAAGACACTTCAACCAGTTTCCTCATCTGTAAAATGGGGATAGTAATAGCTCCTACCTCCCAGGGTTGTTGTGAGGATCAAAATGAAATCATATTTGTAAAGCACTTACCCCAGTGCCTGGCACCTAACAGGTGTTATATAAATGCTTGCCATGATGATGATGATGATGATGATGATGGTAAATGTCCCTTTGCAATAGTTCGCATAAGGTTTTTAGGGCTAGGCAGGCATGAAGTATCATGACCCTGCTAGATGAGAGGTGGGAGTTTGTATCTCTATGATCCACATGAAAACAGTTTTCCTGCTCCCCTTATGGTATGTCTTTTTCTCTCTCCTGACGGAAGTCCAAAACTTGATCTAAGTTTATACACTTTTATTATGAGACTATGCTACACAAAACCTTTCATGATACCTTTTATCTTTTTAGCATTAAGCCAGCTTGGTACTGGTAACTCTGAGCTGAAACTGTTTTATAATATACAGAGTGAAGTGAGGGCATTATCTCCTCAAATGCTTTTTTCATTATAAAGATCATTGGAAGATAGACACCCTCTGTTAATTGTAGGCAAGAGATGAGCACCTAGTTAAGCTGCTTTTCAAAAGAAGAATGGAATCTGCTTTACTATAGGTTCCCAGAAATTTTACTGGAAAGAGATCTTACGACTGCCTGATTATAAGACATTCAACATAGCAACAAGTGAGATGAGAAATTTAGGGTAAGAAAATCAGCTACATTGGATTGGATTGATTTTAAGTTCAATGACATTTTAAAGCACCTACTACACACCAGGTTCTCTGTGGAGATCTTTTGCAACCCTGAGATGTACTGTTTTCTAGGGTCTGTAAGAGAGCATTTCTGCAATGGCTCAGTATGTGGTCTTAGCTAGGTTAGGTAGGTAAGGGAAGCCTGACCAGGGCTGAGGGATAGAGAGGAAAGGTTCTGGCAGCCATGAAGAGGGTGAACAATGGAGTCGCCTGGAGTAAGGTGGTAGGGCAGGTGGAAGGAGAGAACATTGAAGTTCAAGATCTTGGAGGTAGAAAAATTCTGCATGACCCTAAGGCCCAAGGTGTGGCTTTTCTGGGGTGGGGCTAAAGGCAGGGAAATGTTCAGAGTCCAAAGAAAATAATGCTTTAGTTTGAAGGAGGGGATTTAAAAACAACAACAACAACAACTTAAGAGTGATTCTTGACCTGCTAGAAGGATGATTCTTACCGAAATTAGAACTTTGTGGTGTTGGGCTTTTGTTTACTTAACTTTGGATTACACAAAATTACTTTGGAATGTAAGCTCCTTGAAGGCAGGGTCTATTTCTTTGTTTTTCTTCTTTTTATCTTTCTTTGAGTTCCTTAAACTTAGCAAAGTATCTGTTATATAATTAGTGCTTAATAAATGCTTATTTGATAAACATCCATTCAGCATTCTATGACTCAGAAGAAATTTATTAAGTTATCAAGACAAGCCCCAAGATAGATCCCCTTAGGAACTCACCGTTTACCCTTCAAAAACCAGAGACCTCCTCAGACATTAAGTAACTAAAGTAGATATTGAATTTCTTATGGGTTTGGACTCCAGCCTCTACCCAGCTTGTATTTCTTCGTCTCTTTCCAAACAGTATTTTCTGACCTGTTCACTTCCCCAAATATTTGGTATTTACTTTTACTTAGTGGACATGATGGATCTTCCCAATAGAATGTAAGCTTCCTGAGGGCAGAGAATGTTTTGTTTTTGTCTTTGTATCTGTAGTGCCTAATACTATCCCTTACACACTGCAGATATTTAAATGGATTGTCTTGAATGGAAGGCACCTATATAATGTGATAAACATTTATTTAGCATCTATTGCATGCATAGTCATATGCTACGTAGGTACTGGGGTAAATATAAAATTTAGATAAATCGTGATCTGTGCCATTATAGAATTTCCATTAACACAGATAGCTATAAAATGCACCTTTACATTATGTGTGCATTAGACTGGGTGGGTGGAAAGCAAAATCTTCCTTTACTCTAGTGTTAGAGGATAACAGGCCCATTCTGCTTGCTAATGCTAACCCCTCTCCTTATGCTGGTGATCCCATCCACTCCCATCTCCTCCAAGAGCTTATCCCTTTGATCACCTGCCTCCTTCCTTAATTTTCAACCTCTTCTTATACACTGGTACTTTCTGTCTACTAGGATGCATATTTCAGCCTTAAAAAATGTCCCCTTGACCCTTTGATCTTTTCAACTTGTTTTTCATCCTTTTCACAGCAAATTCCTAGGGAAAAATGTTACCCAAGTTTCTTCCCCTGTTCTCTCATCCACCATTTATTTCTCCCTCTTGCAATCTGGTTTCCACCACCACTACTCTAATGAAGTTGCTTTTTCCAAGGACACCAACGATCTCTTAAAACTCATGTTTGCCTGTCTGTTTTTTCTTAGTCCTCATACTTCTTGAATTCTCTGCTGAATCTGGCACTTTGGCTCATTCTCTCCTTCAGGGGTTTTCTCCTCACTGGGTTCTGGTGAAACTGGTTTTGAGTGGTTTTGTTCAGTTCTGACTCATTCTCCTCTTCAGGTTTATCATCCATGCCCTACACCCACTCTGTGTAGTTATATACCAGGTGGCTTTTCTGTGCCCTCTACTCTTGTTCTCTGTTCTTCTGGTAATGTCATCAGCTCCTATGAGTTCAATGATCATCTTGATATAGATGGCAAATATACATATATTTACATATATGTGTATATTGTGTTTACATAGATGTACATATGATATGTCTGTCCTCTGTCTGTCTGTCTATCTATCTTCAGTCTCTCCTCTGAGCTTTAGTCCCAAATCACCATTTGCCTACTAAACATTTCCAACTAGATATTTCATAGGCATCTAAGTATCTGAAACTCAACAAGTTCAAAACAGAATTCACCATGTTTCTCCCTAAAATCTGCCTTCTTCCTAATTCACCTATTTACATTGAGGGGACCACCAAATGCCCAGTCACCTAGGTTCTCAATGTAAGAGTCATCTTTAATACTTCACTTATTCAAATATCCAATAAGTTGCCAAATCATGCTGATTCTGTCGTATGGCCATTTCTGAGAGTTATACTTTTCCATTTACTCACCACAATCCCCCTCTCCCAGCCCCTCATCACCGCCAGCTTAGACTAGTCTAAGGGTCTCCTTATTCATGCATCTAGTCTCTCTCCAGCCTCTCCTTCACAAAGCTGCCATGTTGATATCACCAACGCCCAGGCGTGACCATATCGCTGCCAAGCTGGAGTAATTTCTGTGGCTCCCCACCGCTCTTAGGATAAAATACAAAATCCTCTGTTTAGCATTTTTAGCCCTTTACTTCCCTTTGGACATCTCTTCACCTTCTTGCTGTCATGGAGAAACTTCTGTTTTGGTCCCCAATAACTGGTCACTGCCTCTCACGGAACATTATTTCAGGAAAGTACCAGCCACCAAGCTTGTTTTATTCTCTACTCTCTGGCTGTCTCCTCCTTGCCAAATGTTTTGCCATGGAGAGACTTTGCCCTGGGACTTGACCGCCCTGATTGGTGATTGTTTCTACCAGACCACTATTTGAGGAGAGCCCTGGCCATCATGCTTTGCTTCACTCCCCACTCTCCAGATTCTCTTTCATAGTCCCATTTACCACCTTATTGTTACATATTCTTCCTTCCGCCTCCCTCCTCGGTTTTGGAGCCATGAACCACTGCTCTGCTATTGCTGTTGGACAGGATGTCTCACTTTATCTCCCTAATGTCCCCTCTCACCATCCCTGTAACTTGCTGGACCTAAGTGCCCCTCCCTGGTCACCATTTACTTATGGGTATTTTCTCCAAAATTAAAAATATAAACTCCTTGATGGCAGGAAATGTCTCATTTTTGTCATTGTGTCCCTAGTACCAAGTACATGTTGTTTGCTGTTCCATCACGTCTGACTCTTTGTGACCCCTTTTGGGGTTTTCTTGGCAAAGATACTGGAGTGGTTTCACATTTACTTCTCCAGCTCAATTTACATATGAGGAAACTGAGGCAAACAAGGATAAGTGACTTGCCCAGGGTTACACAGTAAGTATCTGAGGCTCTATTTGAACTCAGGTCTTCCTGACTCTATCTACTGAACCACCTAGCTGTCTCATGAGCCAAGTATAGCACCTGGTATATAATAATGACTTAAAAAGAAACGTTCTTGATCAATACATGATCAGACCACCTTCTCTTAATAACTGCTTATGGGGTAGATGAATATTTATAGCTTATAATAAAAGCTGAATTTTTGAAAAATAAATCCAACACTAAATCTTCTCTAAATAATAACTGCTGTTTAGTACTTAAAGTGTTGCAAAGAGCTTTACAGAGGGGCAGCTAGGTGGTGCAGTACATAGAGCACCGGCTCTGGATTCAGGAGGACCTGAGTTCAAATCTAGACTCAGACACATAATGCTTACTAGCTGTGTGACCCTGGGCAAGTCACTTAACCCCACTACCTAGCCAAAAAACAAAAACAACAACAACAAGAGCTTTACAGAGATGATTTTGTTTGAGCTTCACAACACCTCTGAGAGATAGATTCTACCAATGCTATTATCCTCATTGTACAGAGAAGGAAACTGAGACTCAGAAAGGTGAAAAATGAGAAGAGGGAATCGAGACTCAGACTTCCAGGCCTCTTACTCTATTGATGAAGCCATGCTGCCTCTTGAGGGTGGCATTACAATGATGATGATTACCCACATTTAAAAATAAGAAAACTGGCCCTTGAGAAGAATGGGTGACTTGCCATGGATCCCATAGTTAATGAGAAACAGAGGAGAGATTGGGACCTCTTTCCTGTCTCTCAGTCTAGTGTTCTGCCCAGAGCACCATCCCTCTGAAGGCATTTTCCATACAACAATTCAATGAGAAACAAAGCTTGAGAAGTCGGCAGAATTCAAAAGCGTAATTCTAGTAAATCTACTTAGATTCATGATAGCAAATTCAACCTTGAAGCTAGAAATGTCACAGGAGAATTGTCAAGCATTTTGCACACAGCTAAGGGGGTGTTTTGATGCCCCCCCAAACACACACACTCTCACACCCACACCCACACCCACACCTACCCACACACACACACACACACACACACACACACACACACACACACACACACAGGCGCGTGCGCATGCGCACACACACACACTATTTGAAATCAAGAGCACCTGGATTTCAATCCCTCCTCTGACTTTTACTACTTAACCAAGTGACCTTGGCAATTCACTTCCCTTCTGAGTCTCAGTTGCCCATCTGTTAAATGAGAAAGGACAGCCTCTGAGATCCCCTCTAGCTCTTAATTGATGATTTTCAATGTTAATTGAGTAGAACATTTCAGTTCTTGTGGCCTGGCCCTGTCTAAGAGAGAAGAACAGCCCGTGGCCAGTGCTGCCCTGGGGACCAAGGCTCAAAATAGCTTGTGACTCCTAGCTTTGAGGGAAAGGGCTTCCTCCATCCTTCCAATAGCAACAGGAACTCTGTTTATGGCCCTGTACACAAGTCACAGGCAGGCCCAACGCACTGTATTGGTGTCAAATGTCAGGGGCTTCTCTGGCCTCAGCAGAGAGAGGAAAATGAATCTCAGCTTTCAAATGGAGTCTAGTAGCTTTTGTGGCCCTCCTATGACCGGCAAGTCCTAGAATTTTATTTTTGCCTTGGTTAAGGTAGTAGGTGTCAGTTACTTAGATCACAGCCTAAGAAATTTGAAATATATCATAACTTAAGCTCTCATGCAGTTTATGGTCCATTCATGCCTTTCTTTCCATTAAAAAAATCTATTTCTTATCATCAACAGTGATAAATAATGTTTATGCTTGGTGATAGAGTAGCTGTAAATATATAAATATTTTTCTCATAAGCACTGAGACCCACATATTTAAAACTGCCGAATGCAAAGGTCATGAAATCATTGGAGCTACAGCTGAAGGGGACCTTGACATTCTAGTCTGAGTTTGTTATTATTATTATTTTTTAATAGGTAATGGAAACCCAATGAGGGAAAGTGACTTGTCTGCAGTCATGCAGGTAACTAGTAGCAGAGCTGGGATGGTAGTACAGGTCTCCCAATTCCAAACATAAAGTTCTTTCTTTGTTCAAAAATTATCTCGTGGTAACAAGGAAAGAAGAGGAGCTCTGTTTGTAGAAGGGCCCTTTGGAGATCATCCAGCCCAAGTCTTTCCTTTTCCAGGGCATGAAGCTGAAATGCAAAGAGGACAAGAGAATCGCTCCAGGTCAGACGGGTAATGACCTAAGTCATCCCACTTGTGCGATTTCCGATGCATCTGACCTACCAATCTACCATGTCACATTGTGACATTTTTGTAGCTCACAAATCCTGGATCCAGAACTGGAAGATACCTTGAGCCCAGGGAGTGAGCTCTTAAAGGAATGGCAACCTGTAGCAGGCTCCTCCTTCCTTAATGTTACAATGATGCTGAATTTTAACACTATCATCAGACACAACTTATCCCATCATTTGGTGAGATGATAATTGCAAAGCACTTAGCCCAGTGCCTGGAGCAGAGTAATAGCTATATAAAAGTTATCTCTCCTTGGTTCTCATTATGAAAACAATGCTAGCATTTCAAAGGCACTTTAAGGTTGACAAAGCATATTAATAAGCTAGTATTCCCACAACATTTTAAGGTTTGCACTGAGCTTGACCAATATTATCTCATTTTCTCATCACACCAACTCATATCACTTAAGTTACTTAACAGAGGGGGAAACTGAGGTAGTACCTCTCAGAGTTTCCTAAGCATAGGAAAGCTTTAAAACAAACAAACAAAACAAACAAACAAAAAACCAAAACCCTAGGTAAGTCCCCTTTTCAAGCAAATTCTTTCACTTTTTATTAAGAGTTAGGAAGTCCTGAAAGTTACTTTGATGTTCTTTTATTTTAAACATTTCTAATGTAAATCTGCCTCCCTGAGCTATTTCGAGCTTGCTGGGTTGAGCGGTCAGAACCCAGCGCAAGGAAGGAACCATATTGAAGGTGACCAGCCGAGAGCTTTTATTTAAACGAAACAGAACAAGCAATGAAACGGCCTCCCCACCCTCCAACCCTAGCATAAGAAGTCAGAGAACAAAGACCAGCAAGTCACCTACCAGCTCAACTCGTCCAAAACCTCCAACTCCCAGCGTGTCGATGATGTTGAAATCGGACAGCTTCAGGTTGGCGAAGAATGCCCCTTCAGCTTCATATCTGGATTTTTTGATGCGAAAAAATGGAAATTTCTTAGAGGTGCGAACATGAGTGCCCCGGACAGAAGTACCTGAATGACATGACTGGAGGACAGGGTTTACCTGTTTCAACTCCATCTCGTCTCTTTAGAGCCCACCTTTGCTCACACTCATTGTTTATTTGGTCCCCTTCAAGAAGAATGGCCTTTGTTTGCTTTTCAAAGTAGCAAAGGACAAAGCAGCCCCATGCACCTGTCCTCACCTCCGGGTCTCAAGTGAAAGTTACAACTCAACATTTTTCTCTCAGCCTTGCTTTTCTTTTATTACTTTTTCTCTTCCCCCCTTGCCTTTCAGAATTTGGGATGATAGAGTCTTTCAGGAGTTTCCCTTTTCCACAGGTTGGTAATAGCTTCTATAAGTTTTGAAATCCCTGAGTCTCTAAAGAGAAATCATAGCCAGGTTCTCTGAAATCAGATCCTCAAAAATGTGGGTTGACGTACACATGCCTGCGAAGGATGACTTCAAAAGCATATTAGGATTCCAAAAAATAAACAAAAAATGAAAACCAATTCTCTTCTCTTCTCTCTGGTTTTAATGCTTGTTCAGAGACGATGCTCCTAGGCAAGTGAACCCAGTATCGTGGATGGTGCATGGACAAATGGACTCATGGATTCCAAAGCTCGCCTGTCAAGCATGCACCTTAGGCTCATGCAAATGACAGAAAAAGCTTCCCGTGGTCTTACCAGTGAATGTGAGCTTCCCAAAATATCTGCTTGCTGGAGGCTCTGGTATTTTTAGAAAGGATAGGAAGGCATATGGATGAAGGGGATCCTCCCACTTACTGAAGCCAGGGCAGGGAGGCATTTAGCTGTCTCACAAGACAGATGGCTTTTCACGGTCCAATGTAACCTATGCCCTTCAGTCCCTGAATGACTTACTACTGTACAGACCTTGAAGGGACCATTGAAAGCTCACATTTCTAGAACGTATTAGGATTTTTGAAGATCTTCCCTTACCGTGACTTCATGAGGAAGGGAATATACATAGTATTATGCCCTTTTTACAGATGAGGAAAACAGAGAGCAGAAGTGACTTTCTTAAGGTTAGGATTGGGATTAAAATCTTAACTCCAGATCCTTTAGGCTAATACTGACAAAATACTGAGCAGGAACAACTCATGAGAAGACTCCATTGGCTTTTTCAGTTTCAAATCCTAACCATCATTCTACATTTACATTGATCCCTCTAAGGTTTGATACTCAGAATATCCCTGTGACTGTAGTTTGGAAATCAAGAACTCTCTTACTTCGAGAGGATAAAATGGCAGCACTCATTCCAATGGGAGAGGTAGACAAGTAGAACAAGGATTATTATTGCCATTTTAGAGCAGATGAAATGAAGGATAGAGGTTAGAGGAAATTGCACATGGTCATATAATCAGTCAATGTCAGAGGTAGGACTTGAGCCCTGGTCTTTCTTACCTCCAGGTTAATAACCAGAACATACATGAATGCACATTTTGACCTGTATGGTCACCTCCCTTTATAAGGAAATCAAGCACCTGACCTAGTAGACGGCATCTGCAATATAACAGTTTGGGAATTTTGGCTTTGGCATCGCTAATAACTCATTCTTTGCCTGCCAGCTCCTTCATTTTATAGAAAGGGAAACTGAGGTCCACAAGGTGAATAACACCCACATAGGCAGGTTTGGCTTCGCCCTGGGTGATGACTAGGTCTCTCCTCTTGACAGCAAAGTTTAGAGGCTTACATTCTTGCTTGGACAATAATATCTGACCACTTGTGGTATGAAGGGATTACTTTGCAGTGATGGAATCTAAGCAACAAATGGACATTTCTGACATTCCAGCTGACTCTGTAGTTTTGGAAAATTACAGGCTCTCCCACTTTAAACAGGAAAAATAATGGCAGCCCTCAGTTAAACAGATGCATGTGCAAACAAGTTGTGGACATTCAAGGACTCTCCCTACCCTGGACAACATGCATGCAATCAGGAATTTCCTGGATGACTGGAGACACAGATCTTTATTGGCAGTGGTGTTGAATATTCATCTTATATGTTTTACTGGGATGTATCCTGCCTTGAAGGTGATATTAACTCTGATGAGAAAAGACTGGAGGAATGAATTCACACTTGCAGGGAAGCAGGCTGAGGGACAAAAGTGGTTTAATGTCAACATGGTACTATTGCAATGTAATGACAGTTAGAAGAATAGAAAAAGTCAATTAGTACAATGGATAGAGTGTTAGGCCTGGAGTCAGGAAGACCTGAATTCAAATCCAGCCTCAGATACTTACTAGCCATGTGACTCTGGGAACGTCACTTAAACTCTATTTGCCTCACTTTCCTCAACTCTAAAACAGGATAAGAATACCACTGACCTCACAGGGTTTTGTGAGTATCAAATGCCAGAAGTATTCAGCATGGTGCCTGGCACAAAGTAGCACTGTATAACTTATTTCCTTATTCCCTTCCCTTTTATATAATGCTTTAAGATTTGCAAAACACCTTAGAGTATGACAGAGAGTGTCCTAGGGGACTTTAAAGGAGGGAAGGATCACTGCCACCTAGGGACATCATGGAAGACTTCATGGAGAAGGTGGACCTTAGTTGGATCATCTGAGGGGGAATAAAAACTTGAACAAGAGGAGTTGGTGGGGATAGCATCCTAGATAAATATAGTCACCAATAAAAGTTATATTCTTTTCTCTAGTATCTGCAGGAGGAAGGGGGCAGGTATGAAAGAAATAGCACTAGAGAGAAAAAAGATAAACCTAGAACCTCATTGTAGTCTCAGTTTCTTAATCAACAAAATAGGGATAATAATTAGGGAGGACTAAATGAGCTAATGTATTTAAAGTGCTTTGCAAACCTCAAAGTGCTATAGAAATGTTCGCCATTATTATTATGATGATAACAATTTGGAGCCAATCTTTCCTGATTTGGAGGCTCTTTTTTCAACTAGACTTCCTAAAAAGCAGCCAGGACCACGGAGAGTTGGGTTTTGTTTGTTTGTTTACCTCTTTTTCCCTACTCTCTGTGATGTGGAACACTTGCCACTTCTTAGACATGCAGTCTTTATCAAATCTCTCAGTTTCTCTGTGTTTTGGCTTCCTCATCTATATAATGAAGGAGTCGATGACCTCTAAGGTTCCTTCCAACTATTGACCCTACTTAGGATGGGAAGTGACCTTAACCCCACCTCCTTATTTTGTCGAACAGTTGAGTGACTTGCCCAAGGTCACCTGGCTAACAAGGAGTAGAGCTGACATTTGGACCCAGTTCTTCTGACTTCAAATCCAGAACATTTTCCATGTGACACATCAGTCAATAAGCCTTTGTTAAGGGTTAATTATGTGGTAGGCACTGTGCTAAGTGTTGGAACCACTTAACTAGAGTTCTTGGCTAATCCGCCAACAGGATAACAATCTCATGGCAATCAAGGACAGTGGACAGAAGGCTGGCCTTGAGGTCAGATACACGAGGGGTCACATCTTGCTTTTAAAACACAGTAGCTTTATGACCTTGAGCAAGTCACTTCAACTGTCAGTGACCCAGGAACCTCTTTGAGACTACAAGTCACTGACAAGTTTCTGCTGGGCATCAGAAGAGGGGGTTTCCATAGTTCCCTACTCTAATGGACCTGCACAGGTATACCCCCTGCTCCTTAAAATAATCATGCAGTGCTGGCTGGCCTGGACCATAGCTTCTGCTGAGAAGCAAAGGACATCCTGCCTCTTAAATGCCTCCTTTACTGATTTCAGGAAACAAGACTCTATCCATTTGTATTCAGTCACAAAATTTGAGTCTGAAGAATTTTCAGAGACTCCATTGAGTGCAACCTGTTCTTATGAAATAATCCCCAAAGCAAGGCAGCCAACTGGTGCCCACTAGCCTTTGTCTGAAGACATCCAGTGAGGGGGAAGCCATGACACCAGAGGAGGGTAATTCCTTCTGGGGCAGCCCATTTCATTTCTGGTGATTGTGAATGGTCAGGAAGTATTGTCCTACCTTGGCAGCAAGCCTTAACTTGTCTCTTTGAATCTTATATTCATTGTCCCTAGTTCTTCTAGAGCCAATGAGAATAAGCCACATGGCTCTTCCATCTTTTCCATGTGACAGCCCCCCCCCCAACTCTTGAAGAGAGCTGTCATGGCATTCTCTGCCTCCCAAGTCATTCCAGGCTGAACATACACACTCCTTTCTCCTTCAGTCATATCCCTCATTACCCATCTTCATGGGAGGGAGTCTCCTTTTAGTGAGATCACGGATCATGGGGTATTAAAGGAGGCTTAGGATCATAAAAGTTTTATAGTAAAGGAAAAACTAGTCCTCGCATTACAGTCCCTCCCGCTCTGTTAAAAAGCCACAATTAAGAGCCAATAGGGCAAAAGGGAACTGTATCTCTTGCCTCACACCAGGCTACCCTTAACCTTATCTAGTGAACTAGAGGTCTGTTCCCAGAGACACCAGGAAGGTGGACTTCTTTATATTATCCACATCTAAAGCTCCCTGCCATGTGTCATTTTGGGGATCATCTGTTTTTGGAAATAGTTGTGTCTCCCTTCAGCACAACGTTTTAATGTTTCCTAAGGGGGGAAAAACCTCACAATAGGACTATGAGTTTGTATTTCAAACTTCATCTGGTAGAGGCATCAGGCACAGTGGATGAAGTCAGGAAGAACAGGGTAGAAATCCTGTCTTTGACACTTACTAAGTCTGTGACCCTGAGCAAGTCACTTTTCTGAACATCAGTTTTTCCATCTGTAAAATAAGGATAATAATAGCACCCAACTGACAGGCTGGCTGTGAGGATGAAATGAAACATCTCTCTCTCCTCTCTCTCTCTCTCTCTCTCTCTCTCTCTATATATATATATATATATAATATATATATACATATATATATATATAATATATATATATATGTATATATGAAACTTCATAATCCTTAAAATGCTTTATAAGTATGACATACTTTATTACTGGAGCAAGGTTTAGT